CTTGGAGCAGGTCCCGGGGGAGACGCGCTGAGCCCGGGAGGGCCTGCGCAAGTCCCGCTGCCGGTCGCCGGCCGCCGGTCGCAGGTCGCAGCCATGGCACGGGGCCCGGGGAGACCCCCAGATTTATACTTTTTATATGAGAATATAGGCTGCCAACTAGAAATAGTTGAAAAAGTTAGTGGAACAGTATTTTAAAATGATGTAGATAGTATACATATAATTTTCTTTACCTTCTGAATATATGTAGCAAAACCTTTCTTGAATGTTTTTACATTCAGACTTTTTGTAATTCAATGAATACATAGTAGTAGCCAGGATAATCCGCGAAATACACTAAAATGTTAATGTACTTTATTTTTTTTAGAAATCAGGAAAAATTTCACAAGCAGAAGAGTAGAAAGGATACTTGTAATATTTTAAAAGCCAATCTTATCACTCATCTTTAAAAAATAAGCTGAAGTTAAACTAATTGTTTAAGAGTTTTTTCTGTTAATATTAGGTGGAATGTTTCCAGAAAATGAGAAAATCACAGAGGAATAGCTTAAAGTTGAAAAATTCTATTCACTTGCTACATTCTCATCAGGTACTTTTAAATTTCTTGGTTGTATCTACCTGTCATCCTTCTGTTTCACTTTACAAATGTTCCTTGGATCTTGCATCACCTTCAAACTGCTATTTGTCCCCACTGCAGAGCCAAGGTTCTCACAGAGGACACACTTGACCCTCCTCCTGTCTTCTCAAATTTGAAAGTGGAGCGATCAGAAGCCTCTTAGACATGGAGTCCCTTCTCTCTTTTTGGTTTCTTTCTTCACTTTTCCCTGGACTTGACTTTGCTGACTTCCTTAAACCCTCCCCTTGGCTTCTGTGACAGTATCCTCTGCTCTTTGACCTCACCCTGGCTGCTCTTGTCCTTCCTCGTTTCCACTCCCTCAGTGTCAGAACTGCCATTCATGCTCTTCTCTTTGCTTCCCACATCTCACACTCATCAACTAACCTTTCTACAAGGATGGCTGCCCGAACCCATCATTTCCTGAGATTTGGTCTAGGCAGTTATTGGCTATTGGCTCCTGGATCCTCAGCTCGTGCCACCAATCCAGCTGTGACACATAAACTAGTGGTCTACCTGTTA